CATGGGTTTTCTGTTTTTGATTTGTTTTTGTTTTTCAACCAAGATGACTGATTCGCTGAAAATTGTCTTATAGAAACTTACATGCTAATAGCTGCTAATAGTTTTTTGGTTAGACAAATAAAAAGCAAAAGGAAAGACAAAAAGGAATTCTTACTCAGAATTTGGGACTTTAAAATTTACATGTTCATTTTAAAGATGTATCGATATCTTTGAATCTTTCTCTTTTCATAGTGGTATAAACGACAAGCCTTCATGTGGTTTTGCTTTTAATAACCTTGAAGATTTTCTTCCTCCAATTCTGATTTAAGTATTCTTTTCTTCATATAGTTTATAAATCTCATGTTTGCTGACATAAAACAGTTTTATAATCCTTAACTAGCTGCATAAATTTTCCTGTTTGGCTTAGCATGGTTTTATTCAACTTCCACAAGTCCAAAACATGATGTGGCCCTCTTGAAGGAGGAGAAGATGTTAAAAATACTGTGCTTGTTTACTTCTCTGTTCTTTGAAGCTGTATTCTCACAGAATTTGGAAATAAAATTACAAGAGAAAGGGCAATGGCTTTATTTATATTTTCTATTCTTAATGTTTGTTATGCAAAATAAGTACTTGTATGATATTTACAGAAGCTGGTTTTCTAAAAGTAAAAAATTTCATGTTTTCATTCTTTAGAACTCTAGTTGTTGTGAATGCCGTGTTTCATCCTTATACCTTGTGAGATTCTGACCATCAACACAGATAAAATTGCATGCTTGTCTCCAAGATGACAAGGAATTTTGGGAAATGAAAAAGATGTAAGAAACGAGTTGCAAAATAAAGAGACAGATTGTTAGGCTTTTGAAAATATGAAATTATGTATGGCAAGAGAACACATTTGTAAATTGATAATTTTCTCTTAAATAGATGCTCTTCTCAGAAAATATCTTGTGAAATTTTGCATTGCTTGCTGCAGTGGGTATTAGAACAAAATCTAAGACTAATTCTACTGCTTTCTGTTGGTTGATACTTGAAATCCTAGTCCTTCAAAATCTCTACTGGCTCCCTATCCTCAGCTGACTTTGCTTAAGCACTTGCAGATTTTCTTTATTTTTCGGTATTCCAACAGGAATTTCTGTGAAAGTTGCAAGACTTATGATCTTCATGTGTGGACTGAATTTGTCACTGTTGTGATACATCTGAAAAGCATGATCATTCTAGAAATTGGTTGTCAGATTAGTAGTTGCTCCTTTTTGTGTGACCATACCCAGAGGGAAATATTTGGAAATATTAGCTCTGGTAGAACTGCTTTTGAAAAGGGCTGATTTTTGAAAAGCAGAGTAACAAGAGACATGACCATGCTTACTTCTGACTTAGATCATTAATAAGGAAAATAGTATTACCTTGATGTTAGAGATCCATATGTATATGCTCTCAGTTTGTGCATAACTGGTCTTATGCATGAAAAGCCACAAAATGTTAAAGATTAAATTAGCCAACTAGAAAAGTTTCTGATCCTCTGTTTCATAAACAAAGTAATAGAGCAAATCAAAATAAACTAGGTTGAATGCAATATTAAACTATGTTCTTGTAAAGTGGTCCTTGTTAGCACCAATGTTTTGGTTTATTTCATTTCAACTATACTGTGACAAAAAAAGAATCATCCCATAAAAATGGCATCTTTTAAAAACTATAATTTGAATATGGTTTGTTTCTATAATTTTCTTCTTTCAATGGATTTAGTGTATGAAAAATCAAACCTCCATCTTGCTATGTCCCCTTATTTACCTAACATGTGTTCATAGATCATGTGCAAGCTTGAGAAGGAGAGGCACTTTACAGTTAAAGTTTAATCACATTGAAAGAGCAGTACTGTGGTATATTATATAGTGGTCCTTAGATTTACATATAGCATATCTGTAAACATAGCATTCAGTGCTTTCTCTTCTGGATTCTTAGATACATGAGTAGGAGTCATGTATGTGAAGCCTCCCAGACTGGAAACTTCTTATCACAAATGCTATCTGTTATGTTATTTAAAATGTAATTAAAATACTGTAGTTTTCCTAGAGCTGTTCTAATAGACTTAAAGGAAAAGGCAGCTTTAGCCATAGTATCTTGCCAAGATTCCTACTCTTTCTTTGCTAATTCACACCCTTTTACCTAACTGACTTTAAATAAATACTTCAGCTGATTTCTTTTGTGAAAGTACAACCCTTCAAAATTAGAATGAAAAGTTTAATGGCCTAAATACAGTTCAATCCTATTTGAAAAGCCTGATTTATCTTCCATGGTTTCTTTTTTTTCTAATACTAGTATTTCCTTGTTATGCCCTTGGTATTTCATAGCTGTCCTTTTTAAGCACTGAAGCAATTAGTTCTGAGAAGGCTGATTCTTCAGGGTCCAGTGCTTTCCTGCCTTTCATTTGCCGAAGCTGTACATTTTAATGAAGTTGTTTCATCTGTGTTGCCAAACACTAGAATTTTGCTGCTTCAATTCTAATTATCTCTGCTGGCAAATGCTATGTTTTATTAAAGCTGTCAAGTGCACTGTTCATTAAATGTCCACAGTCAGTGGTGCTGTGCACACAAATTAGATCAGCTTTACTCCTTGATAGATTATGAAGTTAAATATTTTTATATAAACCTCTAAAATTGTGTCTAACAGCAATCAGTGATGACTTAGATAAGTAAAGCATACCTGCAGCTTCTTGGAACCTAGTATCTTGTCAAAAACCATCTATGAAACATATGTTAAATCACTAGTACCACAGCTGAGTATACCATTTGTATGATTATTTAATTCATTAAGATACCATTTTCCTTCCTCAAGATATCTACATTGCATCTTGAATTATGCTTTATATGTGTCGAGGGTAAGATAGGTTTTGTTATTTTTGCTTTGATATAAAGTAAAGCATCAGTGCTAGCCTTTCGGTAGAGGGTTGTATAGTATAATTGATGTCCATTAAAAGCAAAGATGGCTTCATTTAAATGTTACTAACCTGGAGAATGTGAAAGATTACTATCGTAATCAACTAACAGCTCCTCTTCTAATTGCGTATCTGAAAGGGGAATTTTACTACAAGATGTTTATTTCAAACATATGAAGCAGTAACAGAAATATTATACTTGCAAAGAAAATATTTGAGTCAGCTTCTCGTTTTGACATCTGTAGATTTTTTTTGCTTTTGTTAATTTTATGTTCTCACTGTGTGTATCATTATTTTCAGTAGCACAAACAGTCATTCTTGCTATTTAATGTATTGTTTTCCAGATTAAATTCTAGAGAATTAATAAGATATTGTGATGATAGACTACCAGATAAACATATTGTTGATTTTTTGGAAAAAATGTTTTTCTTACCCTCCAGCTATCTGTAGGGCAATAACTTCAAATTTATTTTTAATACCATAGCTTTATGGTATCTGTTTTCTGTATTGGTTACCTTATCTTTTGAAGAATCTTGTGTTTATACTTTCAAACTTTGCTTTTGAATTTATCAGGCTACATTTCAAACCTTTAGAGGAACAGATATTTATTGTGCTCTTTATAGAAATCATAAATAACCTCTCAAAGTGCTATGTAAAATAAGTAGATTTTAAGAGCTCTTGTATATATATTTTTTAGGATTTGGTAGGAGACTACAGTCCTTCAAAGGACTATGAGGCACTCTTCCTTGTCTCTTCTCCTTATGATCCAGTTTAAAGTGCTCTAGCGTGAATAGAAAATTCACATAGCCTGAAGTTGAATAGGAGGCTGTGTATGTTTATGTATTTTATTATCTGCTAATGTATTATGCCTTATCATATGTATTTCATGGTATTTATAGGAAATAATAGCATTTAATTTTAGTTTTGTAGTGCAGAAGCAGAAAGTGTTCCTTTGTGTGTATTCCAGAGGTGAAGTGATTTTTGTCATCTGAAATGCTTGACTTCAGACAAAGTCTTTCATGTTCAACTTCAACTTTTTTCAACTGCCTACTGTCAGACAGGAGATGGACCCAAATAGGTGGTGTATTCTGTGGCAGTGAAGTAGTTGAGCAGTACCAATACTGAGAGATTTTCTGGGAATGGGAAGCATGGAAGTCACCCAGGTGCATGTGAAAAATCTACAATACACAAAATATGACAATTTGTTCTTAGTGTTGTTATTTTCACTTTGGATGTATGTTTCTATTTGGCTTTGAGTCTGAAAAATTGGACAAAATCTTTCCTGAATCTTCTAGGGAGATTTGAAATGTATTCAGACTTATATTTACATCTAGACTCGGATTTGTAAAATCTTGTCCTATTTTGGCTTCTTGGAAATTACCTGAGTTAAGTAATTTCTCTAGTGTGTATAAATAAATGCTTTGACTGCACCACCTTATCGACCCTTTTCAGGGTGAGTATGCAAGTGTAGTGAATATAACAGGGAAATAAATTTCTTTATAAACCTTGATGCCTTCCTTTCCTCAGTGTAGTCTCAACAATTGTGAAAAATCACTGAAGCAATGATCAAACAAAGACATTATAAGAGTGATGTAATTCAATACAGAAATAGGCTTTTAACATATCTGTGTAATTTTATACTTATGACTATATACCAACAAAAGCAACAGAGATTTTACAACTTATGGTGGGTTATCAAGCTGAAACTGAAAAGAGTAAAATTAATGTCATTAATAAAAAAAATACCATACAAAGGGAAATATTTCTGGTTCTGAATATATAGAGGTTAAGTTGATAAAGTTCTATGCCATTTTAAGAAGTCCTAAGATTTTAGACCTAACTAGGAATTCTTTCAGTTTAAAAGAACATGGGAGAAGTTTTGGTCCAAGGTTTTAGATCCTGAAATTGATATTATCTACTAAGATATTTGGTTGGTTTTATTGTATTTTAAATGTTGAATTTTAAGGGATTAAGAAAGTATGGCTTTTGCATTACCACTGTCTTTTAAAGGGAATAGTCTTCTTCTAACCTTGCAGAAGGAATAATAGATTTTTTAATTTGGATTTTGTTTTGGTTTGTTTTGTTTTTACAGGGACATCAAGACAGTATACTTGGGAATACAATGCAAACTGTAATCGCCTTACTGAATAACATCGTTGCTAACAAAAGTACAAATATGATGTTACTCTTTAAAGAAGGTATCTCATTTTTATCTTTATTCCCCTTACTGTAGATGTTTCCTAATCTGTAATATCTAACACTGTGTGAAACTAGACTTGAATGTATTTAGAATTTATAGTGATTGTTAGATAATCACATCGTAACTGATGTACTCCTCATCACTTCCTCTTACTCCCTTCCTGATTCGATTATGAGTTTAACTTTTAGAAAGCTGTTCTTCCAAGAAAATATGGTTACAAAAGAATTACTGACTGAAAGTTACGTTATACCTGTAAAGAATGGCTTCGGAAAGGTGTGGACTAGTGATCTGACCATAACAGTGCAGAGAGAGAGACCCTCTGCAAGTTCTTCCTTTTCTCGCTGCTCAAACCTATGAAAGGATAAGTTGTACAATATTTCTGCACACTTTTAAGAAATAGTTCCAGTCCAGTGATGTAGACCAATGGCGTGGAGCCCAAACTGACTATAAAGTCTTAGCCTACAAACCATTAAAAGTCTTTGTGAAATGTTTACCACCCGAGTTTGGTGGTGAAACACTGGCACAGATTGCCTAGAGAAGTGGTAGATGTCCCATCCTTGGGAACATTAAAGGTCAGATTGGATGGAGATCTGAGCCACCTGATCTAATTGAAGATGTCCCTGCTCATTGAAGTGGGGGTGGACTAGATGACCTTTAAAGGTGCCTTCCAACCCAGACTATTCTATGATTCATTTCACTATGTTTCATTACCTAAGCTAAATTTTAATTTAGAAATTGTTTCTGGTTTACAAAATTAAGTTTCTGCTGTTAGAAATCTATATAAATTTAAAAACTTGTTTAGAGACATACACATGATAGCATTTCTTTTGTTTATCATGAAGGGGTGAGTGACATCCAGCAATACAGATCTATGCTACCATTTGTACTATTTGTTGGTAAGCATACTAGCCTAAAAGTCCATCAAGATTGGTAGTAGTAGTCATGTCTCATTTTCATAATTACCTTAGCAATTAAAGCACTCACCCAGAAAGTGGAAGAGCTGAATTTCTGATCCTTTTTACTCTTAAGGGATTGAATGGACAATGCGATTATTCAGGAGATGAACTGGGACTTGATATTGTAGCTAATAACATGCTCCTCTCCTTTGTTTCAAACAGAACCACTCAGAAGTTAGTGGTTGAGAATAGAGCTGGAATAAAAAGAAAGAATAGAAAAATATTACTAATTTGGAGAAAGATGGTTCATAGGATTCTGATTCTTTGGTTATTTCTCACCTAACTGCCTATCACATTTCAAACTGTTTGGGGTTTCTTGGGGTTTAGATGTATGTGGTGCTTTTGCTGTCTTTGAGCATACCTGCTCTGTGTCAGGCAAAATCCTAAATTGGCACTGACCTGAGTTGCAGCAGGGTAACTTGCTAAAACTGCATAATTACTTGCAAAGAAGTCAGTTCAAGTCCCACAAGCACTATAACCATGTAATTGGCATGCCTTACTCAAAGTAATATGCTCTGCCTTTCTGCATGGCAAATTAGATGCAAAACTATTTAACAGCATGGCAGAACTGCATCTATTCTCTAAATATCTCCTCCTTATTGTCTCACAGAGCAAACTCCCACATACTTTTTATTCTGCTGGTAGGATATCTGTGTTCTTTAACTTCTCATCTGCTCCAAAAATAAAACACATCTCTTTGGTCATGTTAGTTTCCAAATGAAGGAAGTGGAATAGAAACATTATTAAAGTCCTTTATCTTTTTCTTGTGCTATTTCATAGTGACTCCAGTAATATTTTCAGACTATTAATGATTGGATGGCACTAACTTCTGCTCACTGAACTTCAGTAAACACACCAGAAAAAGCGGCACAGCGGCCAAAGATATTTTATCTCAAGTAAAATGTCCCCATCCTTTTTTCCCACTTGCTAATCTTCAGAGTACTGAAAAACTGGATTTTAGCCAGTGCTTTATTGATTAAGGGCCTAATTGTCAAGTAAAAAACTTTTAAAATTTGGGTTGCAAGAATGTTATGAGAGTATTGTTCTTGTAATTGTAGACTGTTAGATTTCCTTTGAATTAAAAGCGGAGAGAAGCTGTGCCATGCAAACTGGAGGGCTTTATATTATTTGTATTATCAACTGTGAGTATATAGTGTTCACATCAGGAAAATACCTTAAACTTCCTCTGCCATATCTTTGATATTCAGCTTGTCATATTTCAATGACTTTTGTGTGATGGAGAAGAACATGATCTAGTGAAATGGCAACTGAGCTCCCTCTTCCAGAAAAATATCCTGGAGTTCGAATAGAAAAGTTGAACATGAGTCAGCAGTGTGCATTGCAGCAATAAAGGCAAAAAAGAGATGTCATAAGAGAGAATAACTGGAAGGTTGAGGAAAGTGATTATTCTCCTTCATTCATTGCAGTGTCTAGTTTTGAGTTCCAACCTATAAGAAAGACATTGACAGACAGGAACAAGTCCAGAGAAGAGCAACCAATATGTTTACAAAAGTGGCCCACGTGATATGTGTATTTTCAGCCTTTGCCTATACTATTATATGAATGTATTCCTTCCAAGTGCAGAACTTTGTATTTGCCTTTGTTAAACTTTAAAAGGTTTCTGGCAGCCCATTTTTTGAGCTCTTCAGCGTCTTGAGCTCTTTCTAAATGTTAGGTCAACCCTTCATCACACCAACTGCTTTCTTCATTTCAATGTCATCTGCAAACTTGCTGAACATGCATGTTATTATATCCTATTAACACTCTGTGCCTGTGCTGTTAATGAAGACATTCAACATTCATGAGCTATTCTACTGTGTTAAAGAAAAAAAGGCTGAAGACAGAGTATTATGGGTCATCAATTTCCCTTATTTCCCCATTACAGTGTGATAATTAATTCATATTTATATGGAGCTTTAGAAATTAAAAACCCTAAATACTTGCTGAACATTATAAGGAACTCAGATTAGGTGGTCAGTCCTATCAAAATTTTGTTTCTAAAAGTCAAGACATTAGCAATGAAGATTTCTTTCCAATTTTGTGCATGCCTTTCTTCAGCTGTCAAGGAGCTGTATTTTTGCAGGCAGATTATTTAGAGACCCTTGTCACTGTTTCCTTTTGTGCCTGTTAGCCTTCAGAACTCTCTTTTGCTCAAAGGAGTTGTATTAGGTGATAGATTTTTTTTAAAGGGCTGCACCTTACATGTTGGACTTTCCCCTTTCTCAAGAAAATCTAGCATGATGGCACTTGCTGCATTAGTGCTGCTGTGATTTCCTATTAATAACAATGATATGCTTGTGCATTTCAGCAACTTGCGTAGAAGGTGGATTGCCTAGCATTAATTTCTCTCTCCCGTGAACTGTGTCCTTTTGTGTGACAGTACATCAGACATGTACTGATAACCACTTGTAATGTTTAAAGGTGAAATGGAGAATAACATATGCAACTGAAGTCACAGAGGGAATTTAAAACGGCCTGTACTTGTGTTATCAGCTATTAAACATTTGTTCTGTTAATGTTAATGACAATTTCCACTTAATAATCAGAAGGGAATAGTATGATTCAGTTTAATTACTGAGACTGGAATCCAGTCAGGAGACTAAGATTAATACAGGGTCTCTTGTGAATAGTTAAGGTGAGATATTAAAAAGCCAAGACAATAGTGGTCATTTTTAGTGTGATCTTCTAAGAGAGTGACACTTACCCTCTCTCCTTCTGTCTTGGCTTCTGGCTGCCAGTCCCTTTCTTTTCTCCCTTTCCCCATCTTTTGATATCATTGGACAATTTAAGCTAACTTGAGAGACCACAGAGATCCAAATATACAAAGTATGTATTCAATCTGTCATGATCAATATCTGGTAAGAGACCCAAGTTAATGCCATAGCTTAGGAAAGGGCAATAGACTAATCAATTAAATATTCTTCACTAATGTACGGCAAATAGAATAGTGTTATACATGACATGCACAAAATATATATGTACCTATAGATTTACAGAAAGAAAGGAATTTTAATACCTAAAATTTCCAAATTGCAAATTTTAAAAACATTAAGTTTGCAACCTGTGATCTTGGACACCAACCCTATGGAAATTATGTTGCAAGAAACCAAAAATGTCATTTCATCTTCAGTTAGGAACTAGAGAATGTAAATGTGGGAAGAGCATCATTCTTGAACAGTTTTCCTTCTTTTATCATAAAGTTTTGCCACGATCAAAGTGGAGCCAGCTGGTCTGAGTTTGTATCCTGTATTATAGTAGTTCTTACTGTTGGAGGTGCAATCTTCTTATCTCTGAATTCTATTTCTATTAGCATTTATTAAATTATAAAGCATAAAACTTATATAATATCCTGAGATCTTTTGATAAGCCTGTAAAGATCTATTAATTAGTACATCTCCCTGGTCTTTTCAGTATTCACTTCCCATTTTCTTTTTAGGATATCTGCAGTTTTCTGTTTTAGGTTTGTAACCACTGAGTTTAATGGTGTGTTGGTCAAGGCCTGAGGAGGGTACCTATGAAATGATCCCACAGGATCCGTCAATGCATGGAAGCAACTTGCACTATAGAACATGCATATAGGTGGGTGACATAGGACAAAGCAGCACCAAGGTTTCAGAAACAGGGACAGGGAATCATCAGTGGCAAGGATGATGACTTGTTACCATGGGGGTAGGCAGAGATACAGAATGCAGATCTGTAGGAAAGTGGGTATTATTAATTCTGGTCATGAGACAACCAGCTATATATTACTTTGAGCTTGTCATATTAAAAGCGTTAACATTTGTTTACTATAAAGTGAAAACCCTGTTCTAGATGCTAGAATTGTCAGCTCTTAGCAGGTGTTGTAGGAGTACAGTGGATGATCATCTGTTTCTATAGACAGGCTCTAGAGCAGTCTACTGAAAAGACATGTCTGTCTTAGATACGTGTCTATTGACAGGTGTTGACCTACTGAAAAATGTTGACATAAGATGAATGCCAAAGTCAGGTTTGGCTGCTTGATAAGTAAATGGTGTTAGTGTAAAAGACTGCTTCCTTATGT